GAATACAAGGAAAAACTCTGCTTCTTTCTTGTATATCAAGCTTGAAAAGCATATCTAAATACCCAATTCCAGGCAGAGATATTAAATTTAAATGAAAAAGGTGCACTAATTTTAGCTGATTACAAGATGAAGATATTAGAAAAGCGAGCGCGTGAAATCAAAAGACAATTTTTTGAAAAAAAAAGAATGGACACTACATACCATTTTCGTATTTACCAAGAAAAATGACAAGGAGGTTGAGGTTCAGGCATTTGATTATTGGTCATTAGATACCAAGCAAGATGCTTGGTTTACCGTTTCTTCTTTCGATGTAGTCTTTGAAACTCTAAACCCGAAACCTGAATGGATCAAAGTCTTTTCGGACAACGGAGAACATTACTACAGCTCTGAAGTAATGGCAGTGATTTCTAATTGATATCAATGGTATACTATTGAGGTCAAGAATTGGTACTTTTTTGAAGCTGGTAAAGCTAAATCATTGGTTGATTCACATCACGCTGCAATAAGTTGGTTATCTATTATGTTTAAAAGGATTCAATTGACTAATAAATATATTTGATAGATCTCACACACGATAGCCAGATATGTATATGTAGATCATGATCTCGATAGCAGAGAAAAAATTCAAAAAACAATTCAAGATCTCGGAGGAACTTAGGTTGCATATATTGAGCCTCTTTGTGATCATGTGATTGTTAAAACCATAAAGGAGATTATAAGCTTTTCCCATTGAAAATGGCCTATAAATGGAGAAAACACAGGGTTTATATTAGCATGTGCCTTGCCCAATATTGGAGAGTAGAGATTATTTTCTTCTATGGATGTTTCCAAATTGATGGAAAAAAAAATCAAAAAGTCAAATCCTAACATTTCTATTTATACAAAACCTTCAAAGGAATGGATTGTATCGATTCCACAAGAATCTGATATACAAATAATCTGCTATTCATAATAATATAAAATAAATTGAATAATTCCTATTAAAATTTATAGAAATGCAACCTCATTCTATTGAAAACCAGGATAATAATGGTAAGTATAATTACTTGT